AAAGATACTTCATGATTTAAATCATCTTCATATTAAATACATCGCCAGCGGCATGGCATGTTAAATATATTTTTCATCCAACTAACTATATATGTGACACATCCTACAGGATTATTGAGAGATTTGCATCGAGCTTCCGAAACATAATTCTCGACAAATTTTGATGAAAATAGAAATTATGGTATAATTAATTAATGTAATTTTTTTAAAATTTTAAATGGATATTCTTAAGATATGTAAATAAATAACAAAAATTTATTTTATGATGAATTTAAACAGATTCTTATTTAAATTAAACAAGTTTTATTTAAATTAGTCGAGTGTTATTTAATTGTAATTTTATTTTTAGCTTTAATCATTAAGATTTTAAGTAAATCTTTTGCGAAATGCTTTAATGCTTATACGAGAAAATATGCTTTTATTTCGATCGCAAATCTCATATATTCTGTATCCATTTCTGTACACTCATACCGAAAATACTTTCTGCAATGATTAACGACATAACGACATAAGCGGAAGGTTTGAAATAAACGTTATAAATCCTTATTGTTGCCTTTGACAATAAGTGTTATTTGTACAGGTGACTGCTTCTCAGCTAATCACCGAAAGCAATCGTGCAATTTTAAACGGAATACTCGCACACAATTTACACACATACATATACACGCGCATACATATACACCGTATACACAATGTTAGGTCTCGTCGGCATTGCGTAAAAGAAAATCGTATAAGAACCAAAGGATGGATTCTCTCATGTTCCATTCATCGATCATATATTTCCGAATTCTGCACGTACGCTCCTCCGCTGTTTTACCGGATGCATTCGTGTTTTCACTTACAAGAGCCGTGCTGAGACCGACGGGATCATCGAGATTCTCGTCGGAGATATGATATGATTATTAAGCAGAATATGGTAAAGAATTGATCGTGCGCTCCCGAGGTGCGAATTTCGATCAAGATTCGAGAACGCCGATGCAGCTCGTCGGTCGACGGTCGAATCTCTACTGCGTGTTGTACATACTCTAAATACATATAAATAAATAAATATATATATATATATAAATAAAGATATATAAATATAAATATATATATATATTATAACGGTACAAGATCGCGAATAAAAACAGTACCGGATATTATATATTCTGCGTCGGGGGCACTTGGCTTGCAACTTGTGAATGCCGATCGAATAAATGACAGACTTATCCGCTTGCACTCCAATTGCCGAATCGACCTGTCGTTATCCGTGAACTTTTTCAGGGTGAAAGATATTATCGGGCAGAGAATATGAGATTTACTTAACGGGAGTTGATAGAACTTTTTTCGAAACGGGACGAGAAAGGGGCGACGCGCGCGAGGAAGGCAGGGCGTAACGAAGGGGGAAGCGCGATTAAAAATACGCTAGTATTTCGCAACTGGAACGACCGATGTCATTTCTACCGATGTCGTATCCGAGCGAGCTTTCCTTACGATTCGCATAGTAAAACGAAGGGAAACGTTACGCGTTTCACAGTTACAGAGCATTTATCCCGCTAGCTTACCCGTTTGTACCCTTTTCCTCTCAGCCGTAAGGTAGGTCCTCTTATTTCCCTCCGTCCATATTCTTCAGTAATATATATGGTAAAAGTTTTCTTCCGCTATTTCCACCCCACTATTTTCCAGTGCGATATTAGAAGCGAAGGAAAGAAAGTGTCGTAGGATAGACAGACGGAAAGAGAGAATGAATATCGGTGTTGTACTTGCGAGGAACTACTGAACACGCTACATTGCCGGCTCCGAGGAAGCTCCGTTCGCGAGGCCGAACGCGTTGTCCGCGCCGTCACACAGAGGCTGTCTCGCCTCAGTTTTCAACCCGAATATATCGATTTGTTAGTATATATAATATATAATATATAGTATAAATATATATGTGTATAATTTATGCATTATATATGTATAATCACGGTAATATATATTATGTATACTAATATCAGTACGTTAATGTATGTAATAGAGCCTAACAAAAAAAAAAAAAAAAAAAAATAGAACGGGAAAGGGGAAAAATCGCGCGTTTACCTAAAGATACGAAATGGAAAGGAGAAAGATATTGCGGCGTTCTGTATATCATCGCATCGCGACGATCTTGTTGTAGCGAGTGTGAATAAGAGCGGCACACTAGAACGATCCGAATTTTTTATATACATAATAATGTAATGTATGTGGTCACATCCGATTTTTAAATGTTTTACAATACTCCATAAAAGTGAGAGATCAACGTTTCCAAAAAAAAAAGAAAAAAAAGAAAAGAAAGAAAGAAAGAAACGGCACGAAGAGAGAAACTGATTGAACGTTCAATTTTCCGTCTTAGGCTAGGTATATTACGTGAAATCCTCACTATTGTGAGCCTCTATTGAAAAATAAAACACACGAATAAACGACTATAAAGACCTATCAAAAACTTTCTATCGGAATCTTTTACTAATTGAAAGTCGCTCTTAATGTATAAACACTTCAAAACACGTAATAAGTAACAGCGAATTTATAAATTAATGTCTAACAATTCTTTTTAAAAATTATATACAGAACTTTATCGTTTAATTATATTTTGTCTAAATGTTTTTCTTGGGCATAAAAAAGTGAATAAAAATGAAAAATTATAAATAAAATATTTTTTTTCAACAAAACAAAGGCGAAGCAAAGATTTACCATGAAAATCTTGCCATATTTTGAATCTTTTAAGATCGAGTGTTGTATTTTATAATTAAAAGTTCTTTCATCAATTCGCTTATGCTACATTCGATTTAGCAAGACAAACATTTATTCTTTTATCTATATTTTCTACAAGTTTTACTAATTTCATCTCTACCAATTTTATTCGGACGCTGTTACTTAAGGTTACCGTGAAAAATATTTCAATGAATCTGAATGAGATTAGCTCGAACAGATCCAGAAATATGTAGAGAGAGCAAGATCACGTCGAAGATCACTGCCAGAAGCCGATTTTTTTGTCATATTTATAAAATGCCATAAGAGAGACTATTCCATATGACCTTCATTTTAACCTAAAAAACCTAATGAGCTAACACGTTTACTCGATAAGAACGAATACTTGAACCGTAAGGCACCCACCCGCTTCGAATGAATTATCAGTGTTTATAAAGATGCGTGACACAAGTATCGTCGTAGATTGCGACTCATTCCGATTTATTGCGCTGTTTATTCTTATTCATTCCGATCGAACGATCGTTAAACATGATTTTATCGTATAATATGAAAAAAAGAAAGGAGACTCGAAACGTTTATATGCGAGCCCACTCTTTGCGTACAGACCTCCCTTTTAAATTTTAATACATTTTATTAATGGAACACTTCTTGCATAATTAATTTTATAATTAATTAATTTTAATGTAATTATACTTTTAGTATTTACGACTTAAATCTCGATGATCATGCTTTGAGGTATGTATATAAATGTGAATATATACACGGGACAGTGTACGCATATATACACATTTGCATGCAATCGCGTTTTCGTTTTTGCCCTGTAACAAGTAGAGATTGAATGAACATTTGTAAAATTCATAATATTATCGAAAAGATAATATACGTTATTAAGGAGCATGATCGTTGGCCATACAATGGGGTATATATATATACTATATATATTATATTATATAGATATATTTATGTTAAAACGTAAGTCTAGAGTAAGATGATAAACGCGATGGCGGCGCCGATTCGCCGGATCGTGAAAATATATTAAATACCTGCAATTGGTGTTCTCTTCTCTTTGAAGCATTTTTAGAAGCTAATTAAATGCCGCGGTTATCGAGAAATTACATTTACGCGACATCGTTATCTCGTCATTTCCGATTAAGGGCCCAATCGAAACGGCGCCGTTGGCGATCAGTTTCAGGAAGTAAGTCCAGAGATCGCTGACTGTCTAATTAGGCAAGCGAAACAGTTTAAATGACGTTACACAACAAGTCGCAATTAAAATGAGCTAGCCATGCCGCGAGGAATGATAACATTTTGTATCTCTACTTGTAGATACAATGCGATAGGCGAGAAAAGTATATCTAAGGATTCAAATGAAATTAATATATAGAGAGCTGTATGTATAATTAATTATAAGTTCATTCGTCGCTATGATATTATACTTAGATATCGTATGATTTTTGAAATAAAACATTTGTTTTAAATACATGTATAAATGTTGAGAGATATATCGTCCTATCATTAAATTTTAACCTCTTATTTTGTATTACAAACTTAAGATTTTATCTGTAGAATGATACATAGCTAAAAATAAAGATTATTGAACATGATAATTGAATAGCACAATGATATTAATCTTCAGATTGTGACATTAAGAGAGATTATGAGTATTTTTTTAATAATTTTAACAAAATGTATTCTCTTAACAAGTGTGAAGAGATGAGTTTATTGCTATTCATCGTCAATTAAGAGACATTTTAAGACTACACGAGTAGTTAAAGCATGAATTTCAATTACAACAAGCAGAAAAAACGTACAAATTATGCAAATTGACATCATCAGTTAAGAGTTAATGATATAATGCATGATTACACTACTGACAATGTTGCCTTCCAGCTAGATATGAAAATTGAAAATAAGTTTTTTTAACAATTAGCTAATCGCTAGAATAGAATCTTAAAGTTTAAATATAGAAATAAATTCTATAAATTTCATATAACATTCTCTTTTTTTATTTAATTAATAAATTGTTTAATCTTATACAAAATTATATATGAAATTATATATTAATATTATCTAGTAAACAAGTTAAAAAATTTATCTTAACAAAAAAATAATAATTTCTCAAAATATTCATTTATATATTAATAAAGAAATATTAAAACATATTTTTTATTAGGACAAAAATTACGAGGAGCATATATAGTTGTTTTACTCAGGATTCATACAATATTTAATATCAAAGAACTCCATATTTAATAACCAAATTGAAACATAAATCTTGCTCTTATTATTTTCAGGTCATTCATCTACTAGGAATTTCGGGGAGTCGTGAGTATATACCGAAATTACGATACGTTAATGTACCATCCCACATGATCGCACCCTCGCTTACCAGTATCTACACTTGCACAGGCGTCTTAACTAATACTTCATTCTTCGTAGTGCTTTAATTTAATTTAATCCTTGTGACGCGATTTAGGGACGAACAGAAAGATCTCTTCGTCGCTTTCCCGTCACTCGACCCGTTTCTCGACGTTCCGTAGAGTTTTGCCAAGCATGCACATTTTCAGAGACTTCGCGGACCCAGCGACGAGCATTAGTCTTCTTCACGCCGGCAAATCGAAAACTACGGCCGATGTCGTTAGAAAAAGGCAAGCAGCAGCTTCTTTTTATTTTACTCGTTCGCAATGTGTCGGATGTGTCCGCCGACGCGCTCACTTTTCTTACTCGCCGGACAAAATTGGATTAAATTGCGCGGAAAGGCAGCGGCCAACAAAGTATTGTTCGTCGCCCCGTTTTCTACGCAATTTGATCAAACTGGGAACTGTTCCTCGTCTCACGATGTTGCCAGTAAAAATAAATCTTACGTGACAATAGATTAAAACTTCTTATTAACCCACGAACAAAAAAAGAACAAGTACGAAAGGATCATTATCGATAGACGTTATACGGAAACAAATTAAACATTATTTTACAATTGTTTCGTGGCTTTAACGTTACAATTAAAAAATCAATAAAGTAATTAAGAATTTGAATAATATTGATAAAAAATTCGTTAATGTATAAATCCCTGGTATCGAATGTTATATAACCACGCTAAACATAGCGCGATCTGAAAAAAAATGACTTAATTCTCATACCACATTTATCAAATGAGATGAACAAAGACAAAAAATGAGATTGATATTAGTGCTGAATGTTGAGTAACTTTGCGTGCTGCATTTACGCAGATTACTGTGAAATATACCAGGCAAATAAAACTCCGAGTCAAACAGCCACTCAATTCCTCTGTTCCACACAGCGATATGACATCTTTTTTTTTTTTTATTCTGTGCTCCACTTTTGCTTTTATAATCTATAATTACGAGTGAAGGTTACAAAGAAACAATGTTGAGCGGAACCGATGCAATAATATCTCTGGTGGCACAAAGAATTTTTTCGCGCGTGCAAAGATCTCACCTGAGCTCGCGTGACTTCAAGACTCTCAACATGACTTCGCGATGATTTGACGAGCCGCAAAAAATTCGAAACGTGCCGAGATGCTCGTAACTCGAGTAATTATTATCGCAATACTTTTACTCTCGATGACGAAAGTTCACAGTTCGCGAGTCCCCGAGTAAGAAAATATGCCGGTCAGTTCAATACGTGGCATGGTAAAGTAATCGTAATCGCTGCTTATGACGTGCGAATCGCCCTCGTATTTTTCTAGATAATCATATTTATACTCGAATAATCAGGGCCGCTTATATTGAGATTCCTCTTTAGTAATAATATCATAGGGTGAAAATTTGATGCTTCGTTTACATGCGTGCTTTGTTCAGTACGGTTTTTGTTGTGGTTTCATGTAGCAATCTGTGTTGCGGCGCTTATCTTGTAACTTACGGAAGTAAAACTCCTGAATGCATCTAAACGACTAACGCTACGCTAAGTCAATTAATTTTGTAATACGCTGTTAGGTTTTATTGGATAATCAATTGCATCATGTGTAATACAATGTTTATTATCACATTATTTACCATATTACGTGAAACTTTCTAAAAATTTCACTTATAGTATTTGTTATGTATAATCGATGACGTAATCAGTAATACCCAGCAAATCTTTTTGACAAATTAATAAAATGTCTTCACAAAAATTATATTTCTTAAATACTTTGCATTCTTTATAATATCCTTTTTTTTTTGATAATTTTAATTTTAAATTCGCATTTGTATGCCACAAGGAGAGCAAACCAGCATAAGCGTTAGCAAAAAATAAACAAAATCTAATAACTAATCTAATAATTAATATTACATGAAGCTTGACATGAAGATATAGGTTAATAGATAATTTATGCATGTATATGGTAATTAAAAGTGTTCTTAATGGTTTATTAATCTCAGTTATTCGCTAAACTAAAAAACGGACATGATGCATACTTATCTACACATACATACATACTGTTATTTCGTACGTCATTATTGGAATTAATAATTATATAGTCAAGGCAAAACAAACTTATTAAATTGTCATTCCGTAAAAAGTCAATGTTATATAAGCGCTGCATACTTTTATTTTATGTTTTGTTACTTTTTATTTTATGTTTTATTTTATATTTTATGTTTTGCTATTCTCGTAAAATTATTATTACACAATTATGTCGGCGAGATTGTGTCGCATCGAAAGTGACAATTTAATTATTTTTTATTATAAATATACATACATATGTGCACCTAGAAGTGACACAGAGAGCGCTGGCAGATATTCCCGATCGGAGGTAGATGGAGCGTCGGCCCGAGGACGAAGACCGAGGATCAATTTATCCCGATTCTTTGGAAGGAACAAAGATAAAGTATCCGGTACCGATACAGATACCATGAAGACTGTTGTCACCGTCGACGACGAGAAGGTAATTACTATCGGTTTTTTTTTTTTTTAATTTAAATTTAATTATTCCTTTTGCGTTATTTACGTCATTTACGTTATTTATGTCATTTTTTTTTTTTAATTAAGTAAATTACATGTGTTTAGTAACGTACAATAACATCATACATTGGAGAACATCATACATATACGTTGGAGAAAAGTTATAAAAATATGTATATTAATATTTATATTAATAAACTTAAAAAAGGATAAATTTTACATTTCTGTAGATCTTCAATATAAATTGAATAACAGTGTTAAATGTTGAAAATTATATTATGAAAAATTGTAAAAATTTGTTACAATTTGTATCAGATTCCTTCTTATAAAATTAGAAAGAAAATGTTGATTGTTAGAAAGGTATCTAATTAAACGAATAATTGAGTTGATGAGAAGAAGACATAACATGTGCCCTGATATTTCAGATCACGAAATTATAAATTTAAATGCGATATTTTCGGATTATACGGTACTTATACGATGGATAGACAATTTTATCAATTTGTTTTTGCTTTATGTTTGAAATAAATAATTGAATATGTATTTATGTAAATGTAAAGTTATGTTCAATCGAGTCGCGCAAATTTTTTTCACTCAAGTGTAGAAACAGTAACTTATTACGATCGGGTTTACATAATTTTTTTATAAAAAAGATATGTATAATATATTTTTATAAAAAAGATATGTATAATATATTTTTATAAAAAAGATATGTATAATATATTAATGAATAATAATTATATTTTTTAATATATATAATTTTTACAATTGCACACTTAATCATTAAGATCCATTAATTTTAAAAAATGTTTATCGACGCGTTTTGTATCTGAAAATATGATGTAGCTTCAGACTGCCGAGCAAACTGTGCAGGAAGGCAGAGCAAATCCTCCGACAGGCGAGAGTGGAATAGTATACGCGGAATTAGATCTTACGCAACAGCAACAAGGCGTTGTACCTCGCCGAATTAATGAAGACAAAACGGAATATGCCGAAATCTTGTACACGAAACCAGAAACTGAGGAAGCAGCAAACAAATAATTGCATCTTCGCAAAAGCAATTAAGTGAACGACCGTGTGTTTCGTCCTTCATTCATTAGAACAACGATCACTTCTTCTAAAAAAATCTAACGCGATTTTTTTCTTTGCAAAGAGAACAAAAGGGAAAATAAACGTATAATTTTAGACACGTGCTTTGGAGCGCGAGAAAATTATTTCAAGGATTATGTTATCCCGTTATTGATCTTTCGTCGCAAGATCGTTTACACGTTCATGTAAAATAATGTAAATTCGTGTAAAGGAAACATTATTGTTGACGTTCCTTGTTAATCAAAATTCCGGGGTTACGTGTTTCCGTACATGTGATAATTTTTACTGTACGGTAAGCAATCTTATAATATACGATCGATACTCTGATTTGACCTTCTCTACGCAATGGTCTTCTACGCAATGGTTATCAAATTTGAGAGCAAGGAGAAAATGATTATCTTTACTAACTGGAACAACCGATTGCTTCGTAAGATCATAACGTGTCCTAGAAAAATGTATGCAAATTACTTTGTTGAAATAAGCAACAATGTTCTTTTATAATTTGCATGCGATAATTCTTTGATGAAAATTTTATGGAAGATAAGATCTTAACTGTTCAATCATTTCAGTGTCGAACTCTTTTTTACCTGAAGAATTTCATTTGAAATTTTTTATCGTTGAAACTTTTAATTTGTATATTTGTGAAAAAAATTCTGTAAGAAAATGTATTTTTTTCTATCTTTTACTTAAATTTTTTATTTAATTATATGTGACTGTCGCATTGTACTGGTTTACATTACGCCAGACGTACTTAAATATTATCGTTATTACCAATATTGTTATTATCCACTTAAATAATACATAAGTAATAATAATAATTGCATTGCGTGCGAATTATACGCTTAAAAGTCGTTTGGGCGATTTAATAATTTCAAATTGGAAAAATAAATCGCGCGAGAAATCCTAAAAATCAGCTATGAGAAAAAAAGATACTGACGTAAAAAAAGAAATTTAGCATTAAATGGATAAAAATGCAGAAACGACTTTTAAACGAAGTTATCGTTTTTATATTGTGAAATTTAATGTGCTTATAAATTATATATTTAGATTGTATCGTGTTTTTTATTATATGCGCGATAAATTTTTTTAACTATATTAACTATATTAACTGTATTAATTAGTTTTAACTATATGTAAGATTTGCATATTATAATCGCGTATTTTTGCATAATTTTTGAATATCACTTTTTGCAAAAATGTGAACTTATATTATTATATTAAACTAATCACTTAACAGCGATACAATAGATATAAGTCATTTATTAATATCATTTGATTGGTTCGATTATATTTTAGGTGTAAAACCTATAATTATATCGATTCAAATGTCTTTCACCGTCCAATACTAACAAATTTCGTTACTTTTTTTACGTCTCTATTTTAATAAATAAGTATAAGTATAAAATGTATATGAATAAATTATATGACATTTATCAAGCTTGTATCTATATCTTCTGATTTACTATATCTTTCCCAATTTCCCACAAATTTTCCTATTTCTTAGTACTACAAACGTAGCGGTACTACAAATTAGATTTTTATTTTAAAGAATACAGCATACACACTTTCGGATTTAGAATGCGTCACGCATTATTAATATTTTTCCTGCCTATTTTCGTCTTTCTTAACTTTCACTTTGTAATCTTTTCGTAGCTCATGATGATAATTACAAACAAGATTAATTTGACATTGTCAGAAATTTTTTACGTGTTTCAATCCAGTTCGTTATTATTATTATTTCAAGAAAATGTAATCATAATATATAAAATACATATATGAGTAAAATTTGTAACTATTTCTCAGATTAATTTCTGAGATTGATCGCACGTTACGAAAATTATTACATAAAAAACAAAATAGATAATCCAAATAGATAGACGGATATCGATATACAACACTTGTATATACGTACAAAACTTGGTCAGAACTAATTTAATGTAAAGACATAATATAATATTGATTTATATATATAAAATAAAATACTGAAAATATTAATATGAATATTAACGAATTACAAATCTCGAAATTGCTTCAAACGTATCTATTAATTGAGATAAAATTGACATGAAATAATTTTTAATACAGATAAAATGATCTCTCAAATTTTACTTACATTTAATTATTATATCTATTTCTAAAATCTTCAAATTCTTTTACGGAAACATGTCTGGAAACACTTGATAAATCATACATTTAAAATTGAGAAAGGGATTTATGCATGAATATAAATTTTTTAATTTAATGCTGCACGAGTGCTGGAACGATTCCGCTTGATTAAAATTCCACGCTTCCGGAAGTCGTAGTTCTACTTGGATCATCTCAGACGCGCAATCTTCGCAGATCTTCGATTCATCCAATTTATAAATGAAGAGATCCTCATGAAGACGCACGC